ATGTGATCACTTTATAAAGTGAATTTGATGTTAATTGAATGGGGTTAGGGGAGTAGAAAAATGCAACATGAGAAACAGTCTTTATGAACCAAAGTAAAAATGTGTGAGAACTAATGAGAGTGGTCACTGTTAATGAAGTTCATGGACTAGAAAAAATATGACAGAGTGCTGCTGACCTCTCTGAAATGGTTGAGTGTAGAGCTGCAATGAGATTCCAAAGTAAAGGCTGCGTGGAATCTCATTTGGAAAGTCCTTCAAGCAAAGACAAAGACAACCACAGAGAAAAAAAAAAAAAAAAAACTTAAAAGAGAAAGGTTCCTAATATTACAGTGACAGGACAGATGCCAAAAATTACTCTCCAATCACATCTACTTGCCAATTTAAATATACTGGAATTAAATCCTTAGGATTTAGATATAGCAAAATCACAGATGCTGGAAATGGTTACAATATAATAATAGATTTCTTTGCTGTGATTGTATATAACATTTGGAAATTATTCACCAAGGACTGTGTCATCAACTGTTTTCCAATGCAAAAAAAACCCTGCTCTCTTCAACAGTAGTTAATATCTTTTGATATCTAGTAGAGCTATCTTTTAAAATGGACATTTAGACATTCAATTAGAAAGAAGATAAAAATGACTGTTTTGAGGAAAACATTCATGAAAATGTTTATTTTACACATCTGAAGCAGAATGTCAGTACTTAACAAATCCTAATCAAAATGAAAGTCATCTGGAATATATCAATCCAGACATAACTAAATAACCAAATAACCAACCAAAAACCAAGCAACCAAAGAACACACAAACAGACAAACCGAAGACACTGAGACATCTGAAGCTGTTTTCAGGGCATTGCCAGCTCTTCCTGCCTAGTTGGTGGCCTCTGGTGACCCTTCCAGGCCTGTATCCATGGCTATGGCTGATCCTAGGGCTGGTCCTGCTTTTCAGAATGAATTTTGATTCCTTATTTTAAGCAGGATTTCTGCTTATAATCTACTCACTCCGTTTGATTTCTGCTTTGTCCTAATTCATCTCTCTCTCATTGATGGGCAGGATCTTGGGGGGCAACTGTGTCAAAAGCCTTATAAAAATCCATTTAAGTCAGCAGGCAGCTCTGACACATCTTCCAGGATAACCATGTGGTGCACAGCACCCACTTTCTCAGAAGCTCTTCAACCATCACAGCTGCAGCAGGATTTCCTGTGTGAGGAGGTGCTGCCAAAATGGTCCTGTGGCTCCAGGGGCTTTCAGCTGATGGTGGGGTGTGGGGGTCAGGCAAAGACATTAGAAGGAGAAGAAAGCAGAACCCAGGAACTTTGTCAGAGAAATAGAATTGTTTTTGGTTTTTTTTTTTGGCAAAAGGGTTACGAGAATCTCACTAGTGCCACCATCAGGGTGGCCTCTTGCTGGCCCTTTCATGTCTCCTCCATCTTCCCCACAGGGAACACTGTCCCCAGCTGAGCAGGGAGCTGCAGAGCCAGAGCCTGTGGGTGGCCTTCTGCCCCAAGTGTGGGCAGGACTGTTCCGACAACAACAGCACCTCCTGGATTTCGGCAAGGTGGAGGGGAGGTCTCCCTGCCTGTCTGTTGGTCCCCAGCAACTCTCCTGCCTGTCTGCTGGTCTCTGGTGACTCTTCAGGGGAGCTGATGGCAAATTGTATGTAGTCCTCTCCACCCCACTCAGAAAACCTGGTAGTCTCTAGTGGACTGCTGCAGAGAGGGCAAGCTGGATTTCTTTCTGCCTGCTGCAGGATACCAGGCAGAACTGCTGGTGACAGGGAAGAGCAGAAGCCACGTCATTCTTAGTGACCTGACAGATGGGGCAGCTCCACTCTGTCTCGTGGCCATGTCTGTCTGTTGCAGCAGAAGGGGACAGATGAGGACTAGGCATGCTTGGCAGGAGTCAAGAATCAATCCGGTCTGGACCCAGGCTTGGCTGGCACCAAAATTCAAGCAGTGAAGGATGAGACCTCATATCCATCCCCCAGTGCTGTCACAATCCACCACTCAGTGGTGGATCCTACAGAGGGACATCAGCACCTGAATATAAACAGAAAGGAGTGCAAGGTCGCAAAGCACTCACATGTGATGTTATCCTCCACCATCCAGTGACATCACAATGGGACATCATGGCACGCCTTTGTTCCCTCTCACCTCAGCACACAGGTCTGGGACTGCTGGCAGATATTGCCATGGGGACAGACATGGAGGGTCACCAGAGGCCAGCAGCCAGGCTGGGTCAGTGCCCTGAGAACAGCCCCCACGGCCCAGTGCTTCTGGGTGGCCTCATGCCCAGCGGCTCGGCAGGACTAATCCATTGAAAATGGCATTTTCCAGACTCTATGTGGCCCTGGTTGAGACAAAGGCAGGAGGGAATACACTAGGGCAGGTAGTGGCTGGCAGGGGCTGTGGAGAGCAGCATCCTGCACAGAACAGTGGCAGAGATGCAGGAGAAGCCAGCAAACTGGAGGCCACCTCCACCAGGGCTCCCAGTAAACTTTCCCTTCTGTGCCTGTCACTGCAGAGCAGGACCAGCCCCAGGAGGAGAGGATTTTCTCCAGTTTCAAGATAATCTAGATTCTCTTGCCTGTTGACCACAGGGAACTGATAGAAAAACAAATAAAAGGAAAGCAAGGTATAAAACAAATTGGTTTCTACTAATGAGGCTTTAATTACACTCCTCGAATCTCCAATTTCCAGCGCCTTCAAAAAACCACTTCTTTCATGCCATCAAGTCAGTTATTTCCATATCTAACTAGCTCAATAACCAGTTAGCCACTTACCTACCTAACAGCTCTCAGAACAAAATGGCATTCAATTAAGTTATGATATCAAAGTTAATCATAGTCAAAGGCTTCAGCTACTTTTCACATTACACAGGAAATCATGTGTCTTAGTACTGTTAAAATCTGCTTGAAGCTGCAACTTTGGATTTAGCATGTGCCCGATTTATCTGATGCATACTGTATATATTTGATAGCCAATAAAAATAAAAGGTATGTATGAAATAAAAGGTACGTATGAAAGATGCATTGAATCAGTTATATATCACTAATACTTTCTGAAAGACTAAATGTGGTCTGCATTAATTCTGAAGTTCATCAGCTGCCTACATTTTTCTATTCTTAAAATGTAAAATTGTACTGCTTTCAAAAGAACCTTCCTTAAACTGCTAAGTAAAAAGTTGTTTGCAACATATTACTTCAAACAAGAAGTGTTTCTCAAATATTTTACAAAACTTAGTGATAATATTCTCTTCTTGCAAAATTTCACATTCCTGTACAGACCCAAGCCAATTGTGCTTAAGCAATCATAATTACTGCACTATTACTGTGTTCTTCTACACTACAAAGTACATATTATTTAATGTCAGTAACTTCATTTTATAAGCTAAATTAAAAGTTTAAGACTTTCCATTAGGAATCAAAGTGTATCTGACAGTATTTCAGAGATTAAAATGTGTGAAAATACCACAAATACATAAAATTGCATTCCTATGCAGCATGTAAACATAGTAAAATATCATGATCATGACAGTTACATTTTTCCACTCTAATCTTTTTCTGAAGATTTGCACGTGTACCAGGTAACTGGGCTGGGCTTGGTGTATCCCTGGAGGGCCCCAGGAGCTCTGCTCCCAGTCAGCTGAATGTTGGCACAAGGGTACCAGCCCTGGGCAGGAGCCAGTACAGGGCCCCTCCTGCAGGAGAAGGGAACAGGCCCTGCTTGGTAACTTTCATTTTGGCCACTTCTGTCAACAGGTAAGAAAGGTCAAAATGAAACCTTTCCCAGCTATTTGCCTCTGCTTTATCTTTTTAGGTGCCAGAACTCTGTGTCACAGATGGTCTGGGTGTGTGCTGAGCAATGCAGCCCCCACAAAGCCCTTGGTTTCCCCACAAGTTGCCATGCCTTGTTCCCAGGTGTGCCCAGCTCTGGCAGGAGAAAGAGCCTGCAGCGCCGTGCCCTGCCCAGCCGGGGCTCTCTGGCACAGAGCAGCAGCAGCGCCAGCACCTCTCAATCCGCTCTTTCCTTATCTTCTCCTGGGACACAGAAGCCTCTGGAAATCAGCACCACCAGTCGTGTTCCCAGCTCGGAGCAGCTCCTGCTGGCAGGCAGACGCTGCCAGTTTGACTGCTTCCAAAGGGGAATAAAGGCAGAGATGTACATACTCAGGAGCCCTGGGCGTATCCAATAAACGTGCAGATATGTGGGAGATTTGTTAGGAATTGTTTCAGCTGTTATGCCAACAGTGCCTTCTCTCCTGGTTCTGTGTGCTATAGATGAGTAATGTAACAGTTGGCTCTCACTGTTAAGAGGTAGATATTATGTGGATATAAAAATGTATAGTGATGTTATTGTAATATAGGCTCCCATAGTCCTATTTCCCCTCCCCCTTGTATAGCCTTGGTAGTCAGGGCTTTTGGGGAGGGCCGGCTTGTGACCAGGAGTGTGGCGTAACAACACCTGACCTCCAGTCAAGATGTAAGAAAGAAATCTCCACCAGTGGATGGCAAAACTTTGACAAAACTTGGCGGGATTAAGGGTATAAAAGGCAGAGCAACCATTTCATAGATGAGCTGCTCTATGTAATGGTCATAGAGACTCCCTGTGCTGCAAGTTTTCCTTATTCAGTCCTTTGTTAAGATTTAATAAACCTTTAAATTTTTAAAAGTGAGGGTTGTTTCTCAGATGTGCAATGCTTTGGGCCATTTTCTTGGTCTGGTTTCCTTTAGTTGGGTCCCATCTGAGTGCTCAGTTCGGGTACAGGCTGTAGGGGCTTGGTGCACTCCTGGAGTTACTCTTGGATCCCTTGAACAACAGGGTTTGGCCCACGAGGGGAATTTGTGCTGCTTTGTGGCAGAGGAGAACTTCCCTGGCTATTTTGCTTTTGCTGTACGGAAGGTTGGTTATTGCTCTGCCTAAATTCACAGGCCAATATAGAGTGTTTGCATTGTGATGTCAGGGCATGGTTGCCATGTGGTCATGGTGCCATCAGAAGGTTGTCTTGGTGCACGGAAGGCCTCAATGTCAGAGCAGCTCTAGGGCTCGCTCAGGGCAGGAGCATCCTCCTGCTTGAGGCGTTTGTCAGTGGGAGCTGCCCACAGACAAGAGCCTTGATTTTTCTGCTGTTGGAGCAAATCTGCACAGCAGTGCTACAATGATTGAGAAGGTTGCTGCTGCAGCTATTGCAGTTTACGGCGTTTGTTATTCTGGCTATTACCTGACCAACCTGGCACGTAAGTAGAGGTTTTCCCTGGGTGTACCCGAACATGGCTTTTGTATGTCTTCCTGCTCTTTCTTAGTGCCTGAGTTATTTTGAAACAGAAAGAGCACTAGCATGCCACTGGTTTGGTAAAGCTCCTGTCAAGGAGTTCAGCTACAAGGGGATTTCTGTAGCCACAGGGCAGCATTTGCAAGGGAACCTGCAGGGGTTCTGTTCCATCCATGGGAGAGTCTGAGGCAGCAGAGTCTGTCATTTCCTCAGTTTGCTGGGACAAGCAAGACAGCTTTGAAAATGTTAACTGGAGACCTTCTTGGAAGGCCTTCTAACAACTCTGCAGTATTTCCCAGAATTCAGGGAAAACTTCTTTCTTTCTACATTTTGTCATGAAAGGATTTGACTGTCTAACTTGACCCTTGACTGAGTGTTAAAATAGTGATTCCCTTTGCAAGGAAGTGCAAACTCCAAAGCAGTGAGTGTCTGCTCCTGGACCCTGGAGCTGCTGCTGTGCTGTGTCACAAGAGAGCTGCCACATCATAGTGGAATTTTGGGGCAGCTTTTCTGGGCAACTGTTTCCAGCAAGTTAATGAGAAATTGTGCATGCAACTGATTTAAAAAAAAAAAAAAATACTGTAAGGAGAGGATTTTAAAAAGATGTGTTATGTGTTTGGTAGAACAGGAGCATTGAGTGTTAGAGAACAATTTGCATTTTCTTGATCATGTTTGTATCCATTTAAGGGCTAAACAGGCCAAAGGGTAGGCACGCCCAAGAATATTATCTGGATCTCTTGCTGGTTGTGTGAATGAAATGTGTATCCTGGAGGGATGTTGTGAAACGGAAAATACTCTCTGTTTGCGGTGCTTGTTCTGTGGGATCCACCAGCCCAGGCAATTTTCTCACAGCGTCTGGTTCATTTTCCCTTGCCCACTACAGGTCACCTGAAGCATGCATTCAGCGGTGCTGGTCCTAAGGTGAGTGAGAAAGGAACATTTCAGGTTTGTGCTGTTTAGCAATTGTAGAGTAAGCTGTGTGCTTAGCCAGAACCAGTAGGCTGTAGAGGGCCGGGCACGCAGGCTGGAAGAAAATCCATTTTCATGCCTTCAACAACAAATACAAAGGCATAGCTGGATATTTCCTAATTTCCAACTCAGAGCCTTGAAGACCTACAAACTCAGTTTTGCAGAGAGAACATTGCTTGATGATACCAGACAGGGATGAATACTTAAGAGAGAGCAACTTCCTGCAGAGTTGAATAAGCCCATTTTAATGATGTCACAGCAACTTAGATTTCTATCCCTATAAAACTTCATGATACTTCCTTAGAAGATGTGGTTGTAGAATTAGAAGGACAATTTAATGCTGTATTTGCAGTCAAACGGGCAACTTTGTGGTGGGGGAGCTGCGTGGGCCAAAAGGACCCAGGGGTGCCGGCCAAGAGCAGCTGAAGGTGAGCCAGCGCCTGGCCAGGTGGCCAAGAAGGCCAAGGGCACCCTGGCCCGTGTCAGCAGCAGTGGGGCAGCAGGAGCAGGGCAGTGACCGTCCCCCTGGGCTGGGCAGCGCTGCGGCCATGGCTGGGAGTGCTGTGTCCACTTTCTGCCCGATCCGTCTGCGTCTCACAGAACAGGATGGGACCCGCACTGGCTGCAGAATTAGGATTTATTATGTCTGTATCATACAAGCAAAAAGCGAGAGACACAGAGAAACGAACATCCATGCAAATCTAGATCAAAGACAAGATGGCAGTTTATGCAAAGCCTTTTTCTACATATTCTTTGAACCAATAGCATAAAAGAAAAGGTGCAGAGTCATTATACTCTAACCAATAAGAAAAGGACCCATGTGGGTTTAACATTAACAGAAGGACTTCTATGAACCTCAAACAATATACAATAATTCATTATATAAGATTGAAACTTTTTCTATTTTTGCAAAGCATATATCTAGGACTTTTGACATCTCAAGCCGTCACTAAGTTCTTTCTTGTTCCTTATGATAAATATAAATGTATTCACTTGGTTCTTATTTTCCTAGCTTCCTATGAGAAGGTTTTGAAATTTCCCAGCCTTTTTCAGCTTTATGTCTACTTTCTGGGGCCTTTTTGCACTTTCTAAAGTTTTTTACCTTTTATATATTCCTACAACTCCCCCTCTCTTTTTAAATAAACTATTTTTGACTCGTCACTTATTTATTACTTTGTGTTATAAAGCTTCACTACTGCATATATTTATTCATTTAGGAAAAAAGTTATAAACTTTTTATATGAAGGTACTTTTGTTTTTGTTTGTTTTAAGCTCTATAATTTTAAGTTAAAGCATTATTAATGTTGGGTAAAGTTAGGTTTAGTATCTGTATTAGGTTCTGATCAATTTTGGCATTTTTAAGGTCTCAATTTAAAGGTTAAATTTGTGAGTGACTTTAATTGCTTTTGGTGAGGTTTTGTGAATTGTTTGTAATTTTTCTTTTGTATTTTTCTTTTGGACAATAAAAACTTTTTTGATGAGTTTGTAATTTGTTGTGAATAATGAAGTGTATAAGGTATTAATATTAATATTATAACAAGATTTTACTTAACTTTTAAAGTTGTTTTGATTAAGAAGTTAAGCTCTACTTCCTGAATAAATTGTTTAATTGTGTTTCTTTATTTTTAATTGCAGATGTTAAGTTTTTGTATGTTTTTGTGAATGGATTTAGAATGATTAGACAAATTTATGTAACACATTTGTTATGAATGAGCACAATAGGCTTTTTAATCTAATTAAAAAGATTTATTAATGGTAGGAAACGAAAGCAAATTAGCGCGCTGGGCAGCAGTTATTTTAACTATTGCGCTTTTGTGGTCTATTTTTTTCTAACTTATTGGGTTTTTTTTTTTGGAAGTGTGACGTTTTGGTGTCTTTTCTGCGCAGGTGCACTCTGTTGCTAGGTTGTCGTTTTCTGCTTTTTGGTGGTCGTGGGATGAAGGCCAGTAGTCTTCTTCAAGGTTGCTCCTATGATCTGGGAATTCTCTCAAAACAAGAAATGTTATCTCTAGGCACGTTTACTCGCATTCTATAAGATTACGGAACTGTCTTTGAAGATATTCGCTTAGGTGCTTTGATGCTTAACAACCTCTACTCCCTAAATTAGTTTAAACTCCCTAAAACAGTGTGTAACGAAGTTGTCTTTGAGAGATATTCTGGAATGCTTGGCAAAATGTGAACATGTTCAGACAAGTGAAAACTCTAAGTGAAAATTCTATTTTATAGATGTGAAAACTATATTATTAACAAAAAGGCCTTATTTTCCTAACAATATCCCCCCTTTTTATTTTAAACTTCTTTTTGTTCACTAAAGCGCTCTAATTCCCTTTTGCTTAATTCTAAATAATTTTCAGTTTCTACTTCGCTAAGTGGCTCGTATTTTGGTTTTACCATCATTAAATGTGCAGCTTTTAATCTATTTTTTACTAGTGTAATAAGCTTGTTAAGAATACATGGCCCAAAAGTAAGTACTAGAATTAGTAAAATTACTGGTCCTGCAAGGGTGGATAATAGAGTGGTTAGCCAGGGAGAATAGGTAAGCCAGGATTCATACCAGCTCTGCTGGGATTCTCTTTCTCTTTTTCGTTGTTCTATTTGTTTGCGTAATTCAGCCATCGTGTCTTTTACAATACCCGTGTGATCTACATAAGTGCAGCATTCTTTTTGCAAAGCAACACAAAGCCCCCCCTGCTGTAAGAATAACAAATCTAATCCCCTTCGGTTTTGGAGGACTACCTCAGAAAGGGATTTCACTGATTTAACTAGTTTACTTATGGCTTTATCTATTCTACTCAGATCTTCATCTACAGATGTGCGCAGAGCTTTCATACCTTGGTTTTGACTCACTAAGGAGGCAACCCCTGTTCCTACTCCTGCTCCTCCTAAGCTGAGCAGAATTGCTACCGTTAGTGTTGTAAGTGGTTCCCTTTTAGCCAGGTAGTGTTCAGGGGTCATTTGATGTTCTAGTACGTATTCTTTTGGATGGTATACGATTTTGGGGATTATTAGAACTTGAATGCAGAAATTTGAATTATTAAAGGCTTTTACCGATAGGCAGGGTGTAACTCCAAGTTGTTGACATACCCATTTAGTATTGACTGCTGGCATAAGCCAATCAGAAGGCTTGTTTGTTCTGTTAATGCTTATTGTCGTGTTGCAGAGGTGTTGCATATCTGCTGGAACTTTCCCTACACACCTTCCTTGTCCACTAACCTGGGACAGTGTAATGCCTGAAACACTATCTCTTCCCTTTCTCCAGAGACACTCCTTTGGATTTGTACCATTTATTTCTCTTGCCTCAGATGTAATCCCAATAGCTTCATAAAAGGGCGGATTTATCATATAGCAAAGCCAACACCCCTTGGTTAAGTTAGGATAAGTATGATTCAAAACTCCAAAAGTAGCTTGCATAATTTTCTATAAGGTTGTATACTTCTGTACTAATATCTGAGGTTCTTGATTAATTTTGTTTGATTTTATAACATTATCTCTGGTTTTATTACTCTCCTTTAAATTATTGCTTATTATTGGATTTGGGCCTATAGGACTAGGGTCATGTGGAGCTACTTCCTTTTTTATTTGTATCAGATTTCCTGGATCATGTCCTTCTATCCAATGCCTAACCCCCCATGTTTTGCCTATTAACCATCCAGAATCACTTGGTTGAGTGACATTTAGGTAAAGAAAGGTGCAGTTTCCAAGTAAGTTTTTCCCAGTCCAAGGCCACTCTTGTGGTCGTTTACACCCTGCTGGTCCATGCCCTACCTTTAAATATTTGTCTAATCCTCCACCCGGAGCCCACGCTGATGCTATTGTTTCACAACCCCAATAGGCGCAATAATAATGTCTAGGGTAATTACAGTATTGCTTCCCTGGGTTCGAGGCAGGGCACATATAGAAGCTTGTTAAATTTAACAGCTGCCCACATTTTGAACTTTGAGTTAAATCACAAATCCTAATCTTAAAGCTCGGTGCTCCAGGTCCCGTTATTGTCTG